GATTTCAAATCGAACTCGCGCTGCGCGCTCGTTCGATTTTGAAATCACGCGTATGATTTCAGACCAAATTGCACTCCACTCTGTTCAATTACCATTATAAATCTACTATTCGTTCAAAACTTTGCCTAAATCCTCTTCACAGACACTTCGAAAAAGCTAGGAGCGGACGTCATTTTGTTAACAAGGATACACTGCTACGCCACTCACTATCTATCACAGAATAGATGGTGAGTAGCGTAGCCAATCAGAAAACGGCATTCGTGATAGAACGCTAGTAGATTTACACTAATACTGAACAGACGCACGGCAACATGGAATCTATTTGTTTAATTACTTTTATTACCTTTGTCTATGAAAGCTCCATACTTATAAACTTTTAAACAAATGCATTTATATATCGAAGATTTAACCTGATTCATTTCTTTTTCTACTTCGATCTCACCTTAGAAAAAGCTTTGCATTTTCCAAACAAAGGAGAAGACGACTTTGTCAGGGTATTGGGCATGCCCAGTTTGAGGGCATTTACCGTGTGCCTGTGGATGAGTTCAAGTGACACTCAAGGGACTCCTTTCAGCTACGCGACAACAGTCTCGGATTCGGGTAACGAACTGGTCATCGAGTTCCGTGAGCATTTTAGTTTGGTCATCGATGGTCAACACAGGTAACATAAAACTTAGTAATAGACGCGGCAAACATATGAAAACCTTGTTCCCAAGGTCTCACTTCCTCTCACTCCAGGGGACCGAAAGGAAGACCCTGGGACTGACAGATGAGCAGACACTATGAAAGATGTTTTGAGTTTCTACACAGCGATCTGACTGAAAGCAAAGATATAATTATACGACAGTCGTTAGTCATGATTATATTAGTCCTGATCATATTACTTTTTAAAAATCGTAATACCGTACGAGCTTTACTTTTGCATAATTACAACGTAAATACACAAGAATGAAATGTTTTGCAAATAACAGTTTTTATACACCAGGTATACAGTAATTTACTGTGCCTTATTCTACACAGTCCAATAAAATTGTAAAAGATAAACGAGCGATATAAACAGAGAACGTTTCTTCTACAGCGAGACAACAGTGTCGGCCAATGATGGTATATGGCATCACATCTGTGTATCGTGGGAAAGCAGCTCGGGATCATGGACATTCTACAAAGATGGTAAGATCAAACAACAAGGCCAACTCAAGGCACGCCATTCGATAAGAGAAGGCGGTTCGTTGGTGCTGGGGCAAGGCCAAGACTCGGTCGGCGGTGGTTTTAACGCTGATCAATCATTCAAAGGAGTGTTATCAAATGTCAACGTATGGGATCACAAGCTTACTGACACACGAATCGAGGCGATGTCAAAATCATGTCTGCTGGATGAATGGAATGCTGGAAACGTATACAGATGGCGCGATTTCCTGCAAAAAGCCCCAGCAAGGCTTGTAAAAAAGTCTCCTTGTAACCTGTCGAGAACTGGTACGTGACAAAACCCACACAACATACATTTTGACAAATAAGCAAACTAGTTAACGAGGGAAAGAGTCAAGTATTTCCAATTCGGGCTGGGTAAGATTGAGGAAGGTTGAGGTTGAGGTTGAGGAAGGTTGAGGAAGGTTTTCCAGAGGAAAAAAGCTCTTTTTCTTTCGAGTGCTATTCTTCGAAGCATGCCGTGTCTTGTGAGCCATTATAAAAATATAAATGGAAATATATAATATTAATAAAAATAGCCTCTTTATTTTTCTCAGCGTAATCAAAAGAGGAAGTTTTATAAGACGTTTGGTTGTTCAAAGCCCGATTAAGCTACCCCAGGATTAGCGAAAACTTTGATTTGAGTTTTTCAACTTTTAGGTCAGATTTTCTGCTGATTTTGTTTGTCATCATGTAATCTCAAACTACTCAAAACAAAGCAGCGAAACACTTTTTTTTCACAATTGATACTTCGGTTAACTTTCAATTCTGGGTTAGCGTCAACTACCTTTCGAACAACACGTCACTGCAGACTTTCATTTGAGGGGCATTAAAATATTTCGTATCTAAAGCTGTCTTCACACTAGGCCTAAACATGTTTAGTCTGATGACGAATGAAATGTTTCACTGCGAAAACTGTTCACATCAGATGGTACATTGCACGAATAATCCTTCTGATCATGCTTGAAACCACATCATCATGCTTGAAACTAAATTTTTGTTTCAATTAAGGGCTGATGAAGAGATAAAATAGGAATTATCGGCCAAGGGCAGAATACGAAATATTTGGCATAAACGTCGCGGCAAAAGTTAACGATTTCACGGTTTGCAAGTGCCGTAAAACCACATAGATTATAATGAACCAGGCACAAAACGAATTTGAAACGGACACGTAAAGTGAACAATTCAGTTTCAAACATGTTTAGGCAAAAGGTGTCAAGCTTGCATCCATTAATTATATTCATTATTACCAGTAAAGCTTATTAGTCAGGAACATTTAAAAAAGTGCATATTTTAAGATGATGCATCTCTTATTTTTCCATGTCACTTTAGAAAAAGCTTTGCATTTTCCAAACAAAGGAGAAGACGACTTTGTTGAAATATCGGGCATGCGCAGTTTGAAGGCATTTACCGTGTGCCTGTGGATGAGTTCAAGTGACACTCAAGGGACTCCTTTCAGTTACGCGACATCAGGATCGAATCATGGTAACGAACTGCTAATCGACTTCCATGGGCGTTTTCGTTTGTCCATCGATGGCATAGAAAGGTAACATAAAACTTGACAACACGCGGTAAAAAGATGAACGACACCCTGGGGGACTCCTATTTTTATTAATTTGAAAAGTTACATACATTTTTCTGTAAACACATATAATTCATAGACAAACAGGCGCGGTACATTGTACATTTACATACGCACCCCTCAGTTCCTCTTAACTCTTTTCTACTTCTAATTAAATGTAGAATTGATAATGCTAATACTAATACAGCGCAGCAACAACTTGCCCCATTTGATATTGTGAGCTTTTAGTTATTATTTGATTTTGCGATTGGTGAATCATTTTAATTTAGGATTTAAATGCTTTAATTGAAGGTAGAGGTTTGTTCTGTCGACAAGAATAATATACTTTTAGGAACTAACAGAATGTGGTTAACAAGTACTTCGTCCTCGCATCTTAGAATGCCAAACATTATATCTTTCAGGCCAGAAAGGTGTTCTATCTTGACCCCTTGATTATCAAGCCATTATATAACCATAACCCAGAAATTCTTGGAATAATGGCAAGAAATAAAACTAGTAAGACATCAGTTCTCAGATAGTGCTGAGTGTAATTTACCGCTCTGATACAGAAGTCACACAGGTCCTCCCCCTGACGTTCACTCCCTTGGTAGGAATCCTCCCCATTCAATACCATCTCGATGACACTCGTCCAGAAGCGAGAAAATGACGAAATAAATGGGCTGACTTGTGCTAAGTATTGTGCGTCACAGCGCTCGATGCCCAGTCAAACGTCTCTTGACTCCTTTTGGCTCAGTTCCTCCGATGACGTCACTAGAAAGTTCGACCCAGATCCCACTTTGCTCTGTCGTGTTCGCAGAAATTACATCTTCAAACGCCTGTAGAAACGCGGGGATTTTATCATCGAGATATTTTTTTTCGCTGAAGTGTTTGGAAAATAAGGAGGCTAGCTGCAGTTTAAATTTATTTGTGGTTTCAGTAGGTGCCACGGAGTCTACGGCAATGTTTGAGAATTTCTTTTTGTCGTTAATTTACTAGTTTTAATGCCACTAAGTAAACTCCGAAATGCGTAGGGTGAATATGAACTTTTTGCTCTATAAAAGGATGAAATGTTTCGCAAAAAACACTTTCCGTACACTGCATATATCTTACTGTGCCTTACTCTTCGCAGTCCAATGAAATTGTACGGGATAAACGAGGAATATAAACAGAGAACGTTTCTTCTACAGCGAGACAACAGTGTCGGCCAATGATGGTATATGGCATCACATCTGTGTATCGTGGGAAAGCAGCTCGGGATCATGGACATTCTACAAAGATGGTGAGATCAAACAAAAAGGTCAGCTCAAGGGAGGCCATACGATAAGACAAGGAGGCTCTTTGGTGCTGGGGCAAGACCAAGACTCGGTCGGTGGTGGTTTTGACGCTGATCAATCATTTAAAGGAATGTTATCAAATGTCAACGTATGGGATAAAAGGCTGTCTGATACACAAATCGAGAGGATGTCAACATCGTGTTCCCTGGATGAATGGAATGCTGGAAACGTATACGGATGGAGCAATTTCCTGCAAGAAGCCCCAGCAAGGCTTGTGAAAAAATCTCCTTGTATGCCGCCTAGAACGGGTGCGTGACATAACACAGGCAGCATACACTTTAAGAAATACACTCTTTCTTTTTTATAAGGATATGTTTTATAAGAATATCGAGGCTGAAAATTGCGAAATTTTAGTCATATTTTAAGAATAAACTCGAGGCTGAGATTTTGAAAAGAATATAATTTTGTGTGTTAAAAATTTGAAAATGCAATACAATTTTACTTTTTAACTAAACGGTGTAAAATTCTTTCCTTCTCTAAACGGCAAAAACAGCACTGGTTGTATGTTCGGTGGTAATATAACATTTCTGCAAGACGTTATGTGCCTCACATACGGTTTTAATACCTGCAGTCTGACTCCAAAATTAATTTAATGCTATGTTCAGACAACAAATACATTTGAAAACATTATTGGCATGCGCTATAGTCTCAGGCCCCGTCCACACGTATCCGGATATTTTTGAATCCGCAACTTTTTCTTTCCGGATTCAAAAATTTCCCCG